TGTTAAAGTTATGGGGAAGATTTTATTCTTGAGCTCTTAAACAGAAAAAGTGATATTCTGGCTTAAAAGTTAATTAACTTGGCCAAAGTCAATTGACATCTTAGTTGCATAGAAAACACTACAAAACACCTCTCTAGGGTCCCTATATTTTTTGCTTCCCACAGAGAGGAGTGGAGAGTGAGCACTTATTCTTCTTTAAGAAAGGCAGTGGCAAGTCTGAAGCCACTTATGGGTCATATTTGGAATGATTGTAGCATGAGTGCTTATTTTGTTGGTGTGATGATGAATCCAGATACTTGGGTGGTGTACATGGTTCGCACTTGTCTGAAGGTTGGTGGTTTAAACACGCCCAGTGACACCACAGAAGGATGATCTTGTGAACTGCTTCTATGAACATTACAGCCAAGAAAACCCTGTGAGGCAGTGCTACTCTGTAACACATGGGCTCGCCATATTTTGTAATTGACATGATTGCATTGAATCTGTTTTGTTGTTTACACTGGAAGTTCAGGAAAGAGAAAGACTGGTATCTACAATAAGACTCCGGCATGTGAAAGAAGATAGGGCTTTATTATAGAAGAGTTCAAAGTTCAATTAGACTAGAGATAGCTAAATTTCATTAAACAAATCTGAATGATATTTCTTATTAGGAGAAGAAAATTTCTTTAGTATAATCTGGGAATGAACTCATAAATCTCTAACATGATTCTCTGCTCACCCTTTCTTGCTCTATATATTTTTCCTAACACCCTCACTGCATTCCTTTCTCCTTCTCTGTCTTTTCAGCACCGTGATATTTTTACCTTTTTGATTTGACACTTTGCGTTAACTCTAACCTCTTTACCCTTTCTGCACTATTTTTTTTTTTTTCCATATATATACATCAAATGGTGATCTCTTTGTTTGACCCAGCCTGGAGTTTCCAACCTTGAACATATTTGTGGATTTCTTCTTTACTGTTTATCATTTCTAAGCTTTGTGTTGGCTCTACCTAGATGGCTGCAGTCTGGTATTTGTCATGGCAGCAAGAAGTAAAGTATCAGAGAGAGAAGCTATGGAGAAAAAAACACTTTGATTTGGTCCTGGATCAACTCTAAATGCCTTCTGTTAAATGCTGTCTCCCAGCTTAACCCAAAGTGCACAAAACAAAACAAACCAACTTGCTTTACTTAACTCGTGAGCTATTATAAAATCAATAAACTAAAGATATTACATAAAATTAAGAGAAGAATATATGCAGGGATTACATGATTCGACAAGCAAATATTTATTTTTGAATTGTGAAAGGCTGTTAGCAAGAGAATTATTTGGAGAAATACAGAAAGACTTCTTGGAGGAACTGATATTTAGACCAGGTAGTCTTTCCATAGTTAGTAATGGAACATTTATATTGTAGCAGAGGAAAGGGTGTCCAGCTGCTGTCAGATGTAAAACAAAAAAAGTCACTGAATGACTTGGTTTGGGATTATTATTAATGCAGAATGGCAAGTGTCAGTCTTGGCTGGAGCACTGATTGTCAGAAGCCTGGGAGGAAAAGTGAAAGTAAGATTCTGGCTCAGAAGTGGACTGCTTGAAAGCCAGGGTGAGCATCCTACCCATTAGATTATAAAATCATAGTAACCATTTTATTATATTTATGACTCATCACACTTTTTCAATGACCACTTTGTCTTTTCAAGGGATGACAAAAGGCTAAAAAGAGGGAGAAGAGAGAAAGAATGGGGAATAGAGAGAATTAATGTCTTTCTTCCCTGTTTAGAGAGATAGAATACACATTTCAACAAAAGCCTGTGGGGATCCACTTAAAGAATTTCAGAAAAAGCCCTTTGTTAAGTCCCAGTCTGTATTTTATTATATATGATTTAACCATCTCCACCATCAAAACTCAAACAAATATAACAATACAAATTGCTTTGATTTTACCATTTTGTATGCTACTTTTAATTTAAAGTTTAACAACCACTAAATAATTTAAGGTTGGGCAATCCTACTTCCGTAGTGATACTGCCTCGGAAACCCAAGGAGGGGTCGCTGAGTCGGGGCGACTCGACGGCACATAACAACAACAACAACAACAATTTTTTAAAGAGCTCTGGTACCATAGTGCCTAAGGCACTTGACTGCTCACCAGAAGGCTGACGGTTCAAACCCACCAGCCACTCCTCGGAAGGAAGGTTGGGCAATCCTACTTCTATAGTGATACTGCCTCGGAAACCCAAGGAGGGGTCGCTATGAGTCAGGGCTGACTTGACGGCAAATAACAACAACAACAACAAACATTAAAGGGAAGGAGCTCTGGCAGCATAGTGCCTAAGGCACTTGACTGCTAATGGCTGGCGGTTCAAACCCACCAGCCACTCCTCAGGAGGAAGATGGGGCAATCTACTTCCGTAGTGATACTGCCTCAGAAACCAAGAGGAGTCCCTATCAGTCGCGTCCGACTCGATGGCACATAACAACAACAACAACAATGTTAAAGGTGAGAGGAAAAAATTAATTTTGATCCTCCTCAATAGAAACAATGATATTCAGGCTTAGATAAGAAATAACTTGACCAAGGTCAACTGTCATCTTAGTTGCATAGACAGGACTATAATCCACTTCTCTGGGCTCCCTGTATTTTTTTGCCTACCACAGAAATGGGTTGAGAGTGAGCACTTCTGGTCCTTCTTTAAAAAAGAAATGACAAGTCTGAAGCAACATATCAATCATATTTGGAAGGGCTGCAATGTCGGTCTTTATTTTGTTGGGGGAACAGTGAATTTAATTTCCTAAGTGGTACATATGATTTGCACTTGTCTACTCAGATTAGGGATGATGGTTTTAACACACCTAATAGCACTGTTGATGAAAGACCTGACAAACTGCTTCCATGAAGATTAAACCAAGAAATCCCTGGGGAGCAAACCTTACTTGGACCACATGGGTTCACCATTCTTTATGGCAACAGGTTACTTTGGTGGTTTACAATGAATCCACATGAATTCTTTTTACTGAATATCTAAGTGCAGAGAATAGAGACTGATCTTTTCAGTAACACTCTTGTATTGTGAAAAATATAGGCATTTCTATATACAAAACTCAAAGTTCAATTAGACAAAATTTAGCTAAAAAAAAAGAAGAAGGCTAAATTTCATTAAACAATTCTGAGTGCTTTTTCTTATTAGGTTCTGAATAAATCTTATTAGAAGGTACTGTTATGTTTTTATTCCTTCAAATTTTCTACCTTGCCAACAGAAAATATCCACACCTGTAACTTGGATTTTATGGCCTTCAGCTATGAGGACAAATTACTTTTCCAGTTTTCTATGGCAAGTTTTTGAGTCTGGCTCATCTAGGGGTTTCATATTGATCTGCTTTCCTAATGTAGCATGTGCCTTATCAGCTTTGATTTTATTGTTCTCATCCAACTGCCCACATTCCTTTGCTTTTCTTCCCATACTTTTCATAACCAAGAACCTACGGTATTCCTACATACTTCTCATCATGAGCCTCCTGAATTGATGCTATTCCATATACTTGATTCAGTTTACATTTTTTAGTTTAAGATGTTTAGAACTGTCAGTTCTAGGTTCTGATCATTATAAAAAAAAAACTCTTGCCATCCACAGTGCTGATATGACTTCAGCCGCAGCAAATGAATTTCATATTTTAATAGAAGTTAGCTTTTTTATGAGAAGATAAAAAAAAGAATTGATATTGCTATGAAAAATTAAAATATATCCTGAAACCTTCATATTGACAAGGATAATGAAAATATGCATTTTTATTCTAGGTATGGGGTTCTTGCAGCCAATAATTTAACTAATTATTAACTTGTTTCAGCTTCATAAAAACCATAAAGGTCATATGAATTTATTATTTCTCTTTTAAGAAAGAAGAAAAAAA